AACGTCATTGGAAACAAGCCCTTCCTTCTCATCCATGGRATCTGCCCATRATCCGGGCTGTTTTAACCCTGSTGTGGGGACTCCTGRCCCTGGAGTTAGTGTAGGTGTCACTGAAGATCACTGGAGATAAGGAAGCACCAAAGGAGAGCACTGAAGACCCCTTTCCCTGGGCACTCCTATGCTCAAAGCAAATGCCTGTCTGCTCCAGGCTAACTTTGCAATCAGTTACCCTTACTGAATGATTCATGCACTGATAAATATCCCATATTCTCTGGGAGGAGATTACACCAACCCTCGGAGTGCAGTGCAGGGTGCTGGACTAGAGGAACAGATCAAAGACAGGAGTCCAGACATGCCACATTTCCCCCCCAGCCACACAAACTCCCTGTCTCACTGTTACAGGCAGAGCTCATGCCTGTCCTTGTGTCTGGCTTGCTCCTGTTTCATTGCTTCTTTCTTATCACACAGGCACTTGGCTGGAGCATTTTGTTGATCCTTATCATAGCAGCTTTCCTTGCCCGCTGGCTCCGACCTTGCTTCAACCAGGCTGCCCTCCTGCAGGCACGTCACTGGAGCAACTACATTGACATCGAGCAAAAGATTTTTGAGGAAACCTGCTGYGAGCACAGCCGGCTCTTTGCTCACAAATGCATCCTCCACTTCTTTGAAAGCATGAGGCAAGAGATCAAACTGCACAGCTTCAGCCTGCCTAGGGAGGAAGAGGGGGCTGAAGAAGAGGAAGATCTTCTCCRAGGCATCACAGATCAGGATCAGGTGAACAAACTTCTGAAAACGTGGTACTGTGAGAAACCTCCCCTGGATGTCAGCCAGGCAACGCAGAGGCATCCCCTGGTGCCAGAGAGAYGCCCTCTGCCCTGGGCAGACAGCCCCAGCACCCATTCCAAGTTCCCCCAGCACACCAATGTGTAAAGGGGGCTTTGTCCTGCAGATACTGAAGGATCACTGCCAAACCTCTGCACAAAGCAAGGACCAGTGGGCAGATGAGAACGGTGCTCACACCTTCCTCCAAAACCCCAAAGGCTCCACTCCACGATGTGCCCAGCAGAACCTCCAAAGTCAGTTGGATCTGAGGGTCCAAAGGTTCCAAATGCAGTCATTATTAATGACATTTCTCAGCAGAGGGCTCTGTGGGGCACTTCTGTCGTATTAAAAACTTTGCAGTTTCTTACAGCTGTGATAAAAATGTGCTGGTTTGAGGAAGGGCTTGACCACAGCAGCAACATCRGGCTGGTACACAAACCATACACACACAGAGGTGTGAGGAGCTCCTGCCCAATCCAGTGAAACCTGGTTAAAGGGTTATGATTTAACTGGCAACTCTCTTAGTACCACACCAACATATTTACTTAAAAAGGTAAAACCACCTCCTATGTCTTCCCATCTCCTGAGAGCTCTGGCTGCCCCCAGCCCAGCTGCCAAACTGTTCTGCCTCCCYCTAAGAACMCATYAATACTTCCATGCATTTTAAAAGTKAAATATGGCAACACACTCCAAATTCATGGAGCAGCATAACTCTAATTGAAGATACCCCCAAATAAGGATTGGATTGGGTTGGATTTGCAGAAGGGAAAGGAAATKAAGACTTTGCTTAACACAGCCATGGGACTGCTGGGGTTTAGTCAGCTGCTCTAAGCACCGGTGTGAGCCACGGAAAGGACACACTGACTCTGTCTGAAAAATCTGAACACAGATTTTAAACACTCCCCTGCTAGATTTGGGTACAAACTGACCTATCCAGAGGATCATCCTTGCAACACCTATTTGGRCATTTCCATCCATAGTTTCAAACTTGTTTGAATGTAACCGTATCTCTGAGCCTTTAATACTAATTGCTTTCTCACCTGCTTTTTCCAGCTCCCATTGTGCATGCTGCCAGTTTGGTACTTCTGTCCAGAATTTCTGTTCGGATGCATTAAATGTTTTATTGCAAACTAACCCAGAGCAGACATATCTATTCCTCCAGGCTGAACCTCACACTGATGCCTGCTTTGYCCCTGGGAGGGAGAGGGGCAATGTGTAGGGGCGGGGACCAGGTGGGGGTGAAGAAGAAAAGTCTCATTGGGTGTGTATGGATAAAGGGGGCAAGCGTGGCTTCCAGGAGGAAAGAAGAGGTGGGAGAGGTGCAGAGAAACACACATTGGGACTAAATCCAAAACAAGGGATCAAAATAAAAATTAAAATTAATGTTCCCCAAATTAACTTTTCAAGTTGCTGGCAGGTGGGTCACCTCCTCCCCAGGATGTTTGTATGCACAGGTCAGAGAATGAGGAGATACTGGGCAGAACACTGGGAGGCCAAATTACTCCATAGCCCACTGTGGACAACTGCACTCCTTGGCCCACTGAGGCCCAGTCAGGAGCTGCAGGGTGCAGAGGGATGGGCTGCAGAGCTTTTATTTGCATAGCAAAATCAGATCTGGGTGAATCCCTGAGCTACTTGGATGTGCTCAGGGAGTGCACAAAGCCAGCTGTGTTTGGGGATAACACAGCAATCTTCTCCCCAGGAGCTGCTTAGATCCAGGGAGATTCTGAGCTCTTATTTGAAGTCAGCATTGCACTTTGAATTGTGTCTCTGGTTTACTTTTATCAGACACGACATCACAAATCYGAGGCTGAGGCTCAGTTCAGACTCACCATTTCATGCTAATCAAATTGGATATTTTCCTAACATACTCAGAGCTGAGGTCTGCAGTTGCCTTTGCATGCTGCTTTCCATGTTCTCAGGTTTTAAGTCATCCCAGTGAGGCCACAAAATATGAAATGCAAAAAAGGGGAAGAGGAACAGATTTGTTATCTGTACCAGGAGGGAGAAAACMAGAGGGTTTAAGGGTSCTGCCATAGATTTTGCAGGTCTACRAAGGTTCACGTGCTGCTGGGAGGGTCTGGTGTGGTCAAGGAGTAGCTCCAGTTGGCTGGGGCCATGGGTGCTCATCCTTCCCAGCCTTCCTGAGTCCCCTGCTCTGTTTCCTTCTGCAGCCCAAGAACACTTCTCCATTGTGGAAAGTGGTATCTGGCACCCCATGACAGGACAAGAGGCAACAAACCCAAAATGCAGGCAATTCCAYTTAAACMGAAGAAAAYATTYRTTTTGAGGGTGATGGAAAGGCTTGCCCAGAAAGTCTATGGCACCTCCATCTATGGAAATAGTCACATCTCAGTTAAAAGTGATCCTGAACGTGCTCTGCGCAGGGGTGGTGGGTGCACCAAAGAATCTCCAGARCTCCCTTCCCACCAGCTCYATTARRWGTGTGTATYCTCYTGTGGAAATTTGGGCACAGAGGGTCATTCACAACCTTAAGCAGCTCTCTATCTCTGAGGGCTGTTATGTGTGACCTGCAGACATGTCCGACATCCTCAGGGATCCTCATCTGCCAAGAGCCTGTGAAACAGCAGGGCTGACTGCAAAGACAACTTCCCAAACTATCCTGTTGGGAATTGTCACTGCTTTCACATCCCTCACTGCTTTCACATCCCTCCTTTCTATACCCTACACTGACGGGGACATGCAAACCTCTCCTCACCTCCACACCTTGCAGTCTGTCTTGGTGTGCAGGTGCAGGACTGGATCCTGGGAGGGGCTTGGCCATTTACCATCTCTTCCAGGACATGGTTTCCAGAGCACGAGTAAATTGGGATTGTGGGAGGAAGTATCAGCTCTGCCTTCYCTTGCAAGTCAGTTGGAGTGAAGARTGAATATTCTGTTGGGRARCTCATGAAAACAAAGTCCTCCCTAACAATGCAACATGGAAAGAAAATTCCAGGCATTGTCTTCTATGGGATCTTTTTGGATTTCCACTGACCTGTTGCTCGCTTCAGTGAGAACAGTAGTGCTGTACACCAAGAGGCTCAGCCCCTTCATTCATGTTTAATAAAAGGCAGAGTTTTCCTGGAGATCAAAAAGYTCTCTGCTTTTTACAAGGTTGATTCACGCAGCCTTTGATGTGAGCTGCCCTTCAAAAAGCCACTCACCAGGTGAATAGGAAAGCCAATCTGTGTTCTTAGCTAGTAACACAATAAGCTACATCTATATTCATGCAGCAAAATCTCTTCCCATTTGATGAGATCATGCAATTAACCTCTCCACAGCAGGCAGAGCTGACTGCTCAGGTATTACCCACATGCTCTGTGCTCACCTCTGCGGTGGCTTCTCGGGGTAAACTCAACATTACCAACTGAGCCCAGGGCTGGTGCGGGGCAGACTCAGAAGCTGCAGCACTGACTAATGGTCCAAACACCTGGTCTGGCTTTCCACCTCTTAATGACACACTGCAAAGCCTTGGGGAAAAGTACCTTCCATGTGTCTTCCTTGTGCCACCCACCGATGTACAGCTTCCCTTCCTGCAGCCACCAGGGCAGTCACGTTGCTGCYCAGTCAGATGTGTCTTGACTCTCACATCAGCAGCACAGGTGGTGCCTGGACAGAAGCAACTGAGCACTTGCCACTGTCTGTTTTACAGCCACTTGTAGTCCCAATAATCCCCCATCTTTCGGCCAGCTTGAGGGAGCAACCAAGTGCATCAAGGCCGCTTTGTGAACTGGGAACAGAGACACAGGAGAACACCAACAACACCATCCACCTCTTTTAGATTTGGGCTGTGGAAGCCAAGCCTGGCCTAACTGTTACCTCTCCTTCCTTTGCTTTTCYTTTTCTTATCCCTTCTCTCTGTAGCATAAAAAAAGAAAAGCTATTTCCCAGGGAAGCAGGTACAGAAGTAGGGGCTCGCAGRCCTGCTAGGTGCTTGCATTAGATGCTGCTGAGGCAAGGCAGACACACAGAGGGAAGAGCAAAGCTCTGGAATCCCATTTCTCCATGTGTGCCAGCACTGCAGAAGTGGCGTGTCCTGTTCAGCCCTGGGAGGAGCATCCACCTCCTGCATTTGCAAACAGGTTCACAAAGGCCAATCAGCCAACTCTGCCCAGGGCACAGAGCGCTCCGGCAAGGAAACAGCCATGGTAACACCTGCACCCTCCAGCCAACGGGACTGGTGGCTGGGAGACTGCAGAAATGGGGGTGTGGAAAAGAAKGAAATCAGGTTTTGCAAATCAAAACCAACCCAGGCCCCAGATCCAAAGAAGTGGAGGAGGAAGCAAACTCTAAACTTTTGTAAGCAGCAAAATCAGCAGAAAAAATACTTTTMATTTTCTGCTTTAAGTACTGGGGCTGTAGAAGAGCATGAATGAAAAAGTGAACTGCACAGAGACTTGGTGATGCCCCTCTCTGAAGAGGAAATCTGAAYAAATGAAGTAAACCAAGGCCACAGCTTGGACCCTGGTGGGGGAAGGAATCAACAGAAGATGGACAAGTTTCGTATGATCTTCCAGTTCTTCCAGTCCAACCAGGAGTCTTTCATGAATGGCATCTGTGGGATCATGGCCCTTGCCAGCACCCAGATGTACTCAGCCTTTGATTTCAACTGYCCCTGCCTGCCACACTACAACCTGGCTTATGGGCTGGGCATCCTCCTGGTGCCCCCCTTCATCTTGTTCCTGCTGGGCTTTGTGCTCAACAACAACATCTCCATGCTGGCAGAGGAGTGGCGGCGGCCGCAGGGCCAGCGGGGGAAGGACCCGGCCGTCCTGCGCTACATGTTCTGCTCCATGGCACAGCGGGCCATGATCGCCCCCGCCGTCTGGGTGTCGGTGACACTGCTGGATGGCAAGTGCATCACCTGTGCCTTCTGCACCTCGGTGCCCGTGGAGACCCTGGGCAATGCCAGCCACCCCCGCCTGTCCCAGCGGGAGATACAGCGGGTCCTCGCCCGAATCCCCTGCAGGGACATCTACAATGGGCAGGAGCTCATTGCCAACGAAGTGGCCGTCAGGTACCTGCGCTGCATCTCACAGGTAAGAGGCACCGTGSCTGTGCTCTCACTGGTGGCTTGGGGTGAGGCACTGCCAGCCTTGACAGAATCTCCTTGCAGAAATCAAGCTGCAGAAGGAGAAACTGGTGATTTTGCAGGGGTACAGGGCACTCAGACTCAGCTAGCTGTAGGTCATCCTGATATAACTGGCCCCCTCTCCTGCCTGGGCAGCCTGGGGCTGCAGGGCARTGACAGACAAACCATGTGCATGCATTTGTTTGAAGCAAGTTCAGAAGGGGCTGACATAGCTCTTACTCAGTGGCTGGTGGGCCTGTCCCCTTCCCCAATAACCCATCAGTTGCTCTTTTTCTTATTATAACAAATGCAAGCAAAGGGCTGATAACCCTTGATGCTACTTGTCTCTGCTGCTGCATGGGAACAGCCAGGGTGTGTTTATTAACTATCCTAGGGAACCACAAATGAAGATGTGCCACTAACCACTTGTCCTGTGCTTAATTCCTCTCAAGCCTTGTGCTCCTGGCCATGCTGGAGACAGCATGGTCTGACACACCTGCCACTCGTGCTCCTGTTTAAAAGCRGCTCTTGTGACTGACCTCCTCAGGGAAGACAGGAATTATTATCCCATTTAAGAGAAATGGAGCCACAGGGATTTCTCCAAAGACACAAAGATGATTTTCCTGGCTAGGGCTTAGCTGGAAAGCACTGGGAGCTGAAAAACAGGAGCTCCCACCTAGATTGCTTCCTCCCAGGTGCTCTTTTAGGTGGTTGCATTTCCAGTGGTGTTCAACTTCATAAGCTCTGTCAGTACAGCCTGGTGGCAGCCTGAGCTAAGACTGATGGTGAACAAGACAGACTGGCCCTGGCTCTGCCCTCACCTCACCCTGTCAAACCCCATTAACAGAGGAGCTGTCACTGCTGCTCACTCACAGTAGATGTTACCAGGTCCAACAACTCAGAAACAGAGTTAGACAGCTGCATAAACCCTGGAACAATCCTGCAAGTCAGAGGACAAAGACTACCCTAGACCCAGATGAGCCAGTCGTACTGGAGGCAGGACCAAGCATTGGGTGCAAGAATCAGCCCTGGTGTTATTTATGGTCAGTGCCTGCTGATGCTCTACAAGGCAGGAAGYGAGGTGCTGCCCGTGTGGGTGCACTGAACAAAATTTCAGCACAAATGCACTGATGTAGTTCATATGGTTCCCTTGTCCAGCTTGACAGTATAATCACAGTCAAATGTCAAACAGCCCACAGTGGGGCCAGGCTTGTTTGCAAACCAGGGGGATTCTGCTGGTGGTAGGAAATGCGGGGCTTGTGTTCTGCCTGCCTGTGACAGCTTTGATTCCCCCTGGTCCCTCCAGGCTCTGGGCTGGTGCTTTGTGCTGCTGATGACCATGCTGGCTTTCTTGGTCAGATCCCTTCGGCCCTGCTTCAGCCAGGCTGCCTTCCTCAAGAGCAGATACTGGTCCCACTACATCGACATCGAGCGCAAGCTGTTCGACGAGACGTGTGCGGAGCACGCCAGGAGCTTCGCCAAGGTCTGCATCCAGCAGTTCTTTGAGAGCATGAGTGCAGACCTGGTGGCCACTCGCTGCCACCTGCCCAGGAAAGCCCCTGCAGATGCCGGGGAAGCTGCTGAGAAGCTCTTGGGCATCACCGACCGGGGCACCATGAACATGGCCCTGAAGAGCTGGCACAGATGCAAGCCCCCACTGAACCTCCACCCAGCTGCCCTCCCCACTGGCAATGGCTGGGCAGGAGAAGGGCAGCCCCCCACACACCCCTCTGYGCCCCGAAGAGAGACAGCTGCCTACTACAGCTGTGTGTGAGGGGCCATGGCTGTGCAGAGGCAGRATCTTTCTGTGAGATGCTGCAGAGAGGGCAGGAAGAACCAGGCACCAGCAAGGGCCAGTGCCACTGTGGCTTCAGGGGAACGGGCACCCAATGGGCTCAGTGGTGCTGGTGTGACCCCATCTGCTCTCACATCCAGTCCTACAGCATCAGTAATTCAGGTAACGAGTTTTGGGCCAGGAGGGACAATTATTCAAGGCCATGATGGACAAGCCCCAGGGATACTGAAAGGTGCAACGTGGCAACCAGGGGTGTCGTGTGTCCCACACCACCGAGCACCAGTGTTGTGGCAATTGCCAAGACAGACACTATCAGATGTGCAAAACTTCCTCTCTTTTACATGCTCAGCTCTGAGCAGTGCATTTGGGTTTAGGCAGTATTAAAAATCCTATGGTGGGGTARCAAGCTGGGGGTGCCTCTTTCTCCTGCCAAGTTGTGAAACCCTAAAAGATCCCATTACCCCTCCACACACTACATCCCCACAGACATACAGCTTCCAAGCCAAGAAAAGCTTTAAAACAAATTTGACCAAAGCACTAGGCTGGTTAAGGGATATCCCATATCACACTACATGTGACAGAAATGGTTGGAGTCACAGGGTCTATTAAACAAACATTCCACAGAAATGCTCCTTGAGGGAAGTGTCCAGACAAGGACAGCAGCTATCATTCAGCAGCAGGGAGCACAGACAGGGCCAGGCCAACAACTTGCCACAAATCTGCCTCAGGAGGATTTGTTCTTACAATTTTTCCTGGACTTCTCCCTGACACAAAGACTGTTGTTAAAAACCCACCTGGGTGTTTGTTTAAGGAGGCAAATAAATAATTTAGGCTTACCATTCAAGCTCTGTGCTCAGACACCAGGATTTATAAAAGCTGTTTACAAAAGCTGTTGGTGTTTCTTTACTTGGATACAATGAAAAGGACTGGGAGAGCCCCCAGGCCAAGCCCGGGGTGCTGAGGCTCCATGAGTTGAAGTGTTTTGCCAGTGCATGGCCGCCAGCAGCAGCCAGCCCTGGCTCTCTGAGGAGAAGCTGGGAAGCCACTGCCGATCCTGCACAAAAAAAGGTGGCTGCCCACTTCCAAAGAAACTGAGGATGACAGGATGCAGGCCCTCGAGGTGACTGTGGAAATCACAGCCCAGAAGACTGTTTCCCAGTGGCTCTCRTTTTATTACAAATATGCAGAAGGCAAACCCCTTTTAAGGGATGAGTTTTAGCCCTGCCATATCCCTTATGAGATGTTCATGCCCTTGAAATTTCTGCTGTGGGGTTCTTGTTGAAACAACTTATTATGGCTGGCCAGTAACTGAGGTGACTGTCATTTGCATAAACCTTAATTATCAATGTGTAACTCCGCAGAGGCTTTGGGGAGAAGAGAACAAAGGACCAAAATGATGAGGAAATTCTCCTGGCTACTGTGAGTGCACCTTAGCAAGCCCTTAGTCAAGGRCAGGCTAAATCTGGCCAGCTCCCAGGAGAAAGGAGCATGACATGGTTTTGTCATTAATCTTCACACCCAAACTTTAATTAACGCACCTGCCCAGAAATTAATTGACACAAAACCTGATTTACAAAGCAAAGGAGATTAAAAGATAAAGCTGGTTTCCACTCCTATTATTTGCGATTCAATTGCTGTTTGTGGCTCACTGTGAAAGGCGCGCTCAGAGTCCCCACGATGGCSAGCAGCACGGAGAGATGGCAGACTCCATGGCACAGCCATTAAGGTATCAGAATAACTAGGTGCAGAATAACTATTTGCAACGAGAAGCTTTTTGGACCTCTAAGAATTTTAGGATTTGAGCTTTGTCCCCATGTAGCAGAATCTTCATAGAGCGGGCAGGTTCTCCTCTTCATGATGTATTTCCAGGGACATTGCTCATTGCCTTTGGGAGGCGAGCCTTCCCTAGGGAACCCGCCAGTCCCGGGATTTCAGCCGGGCTGCGGTGCCGGTGCTGATCCCGGTTTGCAGCAGCGCCCTGAGCACGGAGCAGTCCTGGGGGCACCCACCGAGCCTTCAGGGGAGCCAGCCCCAGGCATCAGCGAGGGGSGCACCGCACCCAAACTACCGGGAGCTGCAAAAACCCGCCCGGGGACCCCACATCTGGGGCTAGGAAGGAAGACGGTCCAAAAATCCCGCCGGCTGAACTGCCAGCGCTGGATAAGCCTAGATTTGCTCGGGGCGGAGGAGGTCGTGGGCGTTGCTGAAGATTTGCCTGTGCTGAAGACATTCTCTGGGGAGGGTTGAGTTTAACCCCGGAGACAACACGGCAGGAGGGCTGGGGARGGAAGATGGGCTCCGGCCTCTGCAACAGGCTGGGCAGGAGCTGGAGCTGAGGAACAGATGGTGGAGAGGAGGGAACAAAGAGAAAGTGAGGCACTCTCGGCTGCCTCGCAGGCAAGCAGAGGAAGGAGAGAACGGAAAAGCTGAACCAGGCAGGAATGCACAGCTCTCGCCAAAAATSAGGCAGTGCCCAGCCCTGCACACATGGCCCCGGCCGTGCTCAGCCCCCAGCCTGCTGCAGCAGCCCCRCCGCTCGCTCCCGGGTGGGGGAAGCGGAACCTGGCCCCAAAATCCACCCAGGCGGGCGCCTTCCCGCTGGCTCAGCCGGCTCCCATGCGCTGAAGTTTCTGACCCTTCTCRTGGGACCATGGGCTTCCCCCGCGCCGTCCCGGCCTGCTTAGAGCAGCTCCCACCGGCATGACTGCATTCCCGGGGCACAAAGGGAGCAATGCGGGCTGGGGGGATCCACCATTTCCCCGCTGCACCCCTGCAAGGCATCACTCCCGTTCTCCAGGCGAACTCCGGGCCATCCCGCCCAGCCGTAGCACATCTGCATCGTGAGTCTGAGAAAGCACGATGTGCTTTTTCCAGTGACTCATTCTCTCAGCTTTTCGTTTCCTTTTTTTTTTTTCTTTTTAAAGGCACAACCTCAGCCGCGCACATAGCAGAAGCCAAGCGCCTGCTCTTTGCCCCACCCAAGCTCAGGGCCTAAGAACAACCTCCTCCCTCTTCCTAAAAGCCGACAGCGGAGGGCATGTTTCAAACTGAATAGGGAAGCCTTTCCGAACTGTTGAGGCTGTTTTCAAAAGCTTTCACTTCACCCATCAGACCGGCCTCAGTTTCATCACGACTCCTGCACAGCCCTGTGTGCTGCTGGAAGCCCCCCTGCGACCAGAGCCTGAGCGAAAAGCACAGGAAGGGCCGAGAAGGCTCCAGAACTGGTTTCAGCAACTTTTTCAAGTAAGTGACTTRATTTTTTCTTGCTTTCATATAGATTTTGGGGAAGGAAACAGAGGTTTCTAAAGACTTACCTGCTGCAAACGACTTCTCCCCTTCTAACCAACTTTCTCTCCCAGACCATAACTACCAAGCAGAGAAACGGAGAGCTTCTCCAAATGGCCAATACTTCTCTTTGCCAGCTCCTCAGATTTTTGCTTTGCCGTTTGCCAGCCTCTGTCAGGAAGGTTATAGAGCCGTATTTATCAGGGCTGTTTGTGGGTAACTAACAAGAGATGCTTGAACTAGAACAAGTTTGTGGGTTTAGCATCTGGCTGCAAACGTGGACTTCCACCAAGCATGGAGATGGAGGCCTGGCTCCCCATCACGTGGTGGCAGTCTTCAGCTGGTCTGTCTCCTTTGCAGAGGGAGTTTTGCATATGGARAACTGGGCAGCTGCAGGAAAACATTAATGGCTGTTTGTGTTTGAACTCAGCCATATCACAGTGTGACTTTAAAGGGATTGCCATGGGTTAGACCCAGCAAAGAATACAGGCCAAATTTATACCCCTGTTCCCCTCCTCTGGCCCACRGAGAAAGGGAATAAACCAGGATTTGTTGAGGCAGCAGATGAACTGAGGCACAGTAGTGATTTAAAGCAGTGTATGAGCAAGCTTGGTGCAAAAGACCATACGGATCAAAGTGTCTTTGTCTCTTCTGCAGTAATGTCCCTGAAGTCTTGTCCCACCCATTTGGGGGTGGCCCAGGGAAGACTTTGGGGCAGCCCTGTGGGCCAGGGCTCCCAGGTAGCCCCAGATGTGTGCCAGTGCTTCGAGCACTGTGCAAGCTGCCAGAGACGGTTAGTTGTGAGCCAGACACTTCCTGTCTCCAGCAAACCCTGGTGACAGGAGTTCCCCTGAGGCCAGCGGGTTTCATCACACGGGTGAGGGTTCCCAGAGTTWGCAAGGTACCTGAGGCTTTCTGAGAAGAAACCCTGTGGGTATGCAGAACTGATGGAAAGTCAACTAAGAAATTAATGGAATCGGGCTTGCAGACAGGATGGGGGAATGGACAGAACTGCAGAGTGTGTGGACACATTCCCCAGTTATTTCCCTGCCCTTAAAAAAACCATCAAGGCACATGCTTTGCCCTGCTTGGCCCTGAGTGCCTGTAGCCCTGTCAGTGGGGTATAACACAGGCAAAGGGCACCAAAGAGCATCTCTGGCACTGMGGCTGCACATTGAGGGGCTCAGTCTCAGGGCAAAATTAAGAGGCTGAGCTGGGACTGCAGGCCAGGACAAGGAGCACGATTATGTAAACCAGCTGCAGGATGGGAGATCATCCTGCCACACCTAATCTTAGCAAAAGCTCCCACGTAATTGCTCTATCAGCATTTGGTGTTTGTATCCTGGGTCATCAAGATAAGCTCTGCTTTTCCAGAAAGTAACTTCTCTTGCTGGTTGCAACAGCCCTCAAGCATCCCTTCAACCCTCCTCAGCAAATGTGACCTCCCATGCCACATTTTTGTGCCCCCAAATCTGCTGGGATGCCTCACAGTGCCCCTTGCTGCTTTCCTCGCATTCCTGTGTCTATTAATAAATATTAACTCATCAGGTCTAAAGAGGGAGGCAAAAGCCACACAGAGYACCTTCAAAGGAGCACAGCCCCAGCACCCACGTGCCACATGTGGCTGGGCTAGTGTGAGTCAATGGCAGGGCTGGGGACACATCCTAATGCCATCGCTCTGGCCCAGTTTTCCCAGTAACATGGTGTCCTTCATTGCAGGCTTGGGAGATCATCAAGGGTTTGCCAGTGACACTGACAATAATTGCAGCTGTGGGAGGTGACTAAAACCAAGGAGAAGGAAAGAGRACAAACATGCAATTGAGAGGGACAGAAAGAGATGTCCCACCTGTCATCTTTGCTGTAGTGAAGCTTCTGGAGAGCTAGGTGGGAAACYAAAATGGCCAAGGCCAAGTCCTTTTTCAGCCCCTTGTGAAGAATCCCTGGTATCAGCAACCAGCTCCAGAGGCTGGGACACCAGGTGGGAGGAAGGGACATCAGTGAAGGTGTCTCACTCTGGAACAGCTCCTGGCACCAGGCCCTTTCACCCCCCATTGGAGTGTTCCTCAGTGCTGGGGCTGAGCCAGCACGGCCCCTGCTGCAGCACTCACATCTCAGCTGGAGTGCCTCAGCGGACAAGATGGCCGCCCTCATCGCTGAGAACTTCCGCTTCCTCTCCTTGTTCTTCAAGAGCAAAGATGTGATGATCTTCAATGGTTTGGTGGCTCTGGGCACAGTGGGGAGTGAGGAGCTCTTCTCAGTCGTTGCCTTCAACTGCCCCTGCTCCCCTGCCCGCAACTACATCTATGGGCTGGCTGCCATCGGTGTCCCRGCCCTGGCCCTCTTCCTCATCGGTGTCATCTGGAACAACCACACCTGGAATCTGGTGGCCGAGTGCCACAAGCGCGGCACCAAGAACTTCTCTGCCGCTGCCACCTTCCTCCTCTTCGGCTCCATCATGGGCCGGGCGTCCGTGGCACCCATCACTTGGTCGGTCATCTCGCTGCTGCGTGGGGAAGCTTACATCTGTGCCCTCAGCGAGTTCGTCAAGCCATCCTCCCTGGACAAGTTTCCAGCTGAGTCTGGGGCCGAGGTGCTGGCCAAGTTCCCCTGTAGAGATGTCCCGGCAAACCTCACCAAGTTCAGGGACGAGGTGACACGGAGGCTGAGATACGAGTCGCAGGTAGGCACAGCAGGGAGAGAGCCCCAGGGAGTGGGTAAGAGCACCCTGCCATGTCCTAACACCGCCTCTCTCTTCTCCCCAGCTCTTCGGCTGGCTGCTCATCGGCATCGTTGCGGTGCTGATTTTCCTGACCAAGTGCCTGAAGCACTGCTGCTCGCCGCTGAGCTAYCGGCAGGAGGCCTACTGGGCCCAGTACCGCTCCAACGAGGACAAGCTCTTCCGCCGCACGGCCGAGGTCCACTCCAGGATCCTGGCAGCCAAGAACGTGAAACAATTCTTCGGCTTTGTGGCGCTGGACAAGGAGGAGAAGGAGCTGGTGCAGGAGTTCCCAGTGGAGGGTGTCCAGCCGAGCCCCCAGTGGAACGCCATCACRGGCGTCTACATCTACCGGGAGAACAAGGGCTTCCCCCTCTACAGCCGGCTCCACAAATGGGCCAAAGGCGTGGAAGGGAACGGGCCAACCCCAGAAGGCCATGAACTRCTGTTTTTGGCTTCCTAAGACAGGCAGGCACTGGCAGTGCTTCCCCAGACTGCCTGGCAGGCCTTCCAGTATCAGCACACAGCTGAGGGATGCACTGGGAGCATTCCTCCCRGCAGGATTACTTCTCTCAGCAGGTGAACAGGGATCAACAGCCTCAGGGAACAGACTGATAAACAATATCCTGAGCTGGGGAACCCCTCCCTCAGGAGCAACAGTCTCACTGCTGTTCCCAGAGACACGGGGGAGCAAAGAGCAGATACAGCCTTTAGCTCCAGGCTGCCAGTGCAGCCCATTGCCTGATGTACCAGCAGAAACAGTGGGGAACAAGAGACAGGCACAACTTTCTCACTRTGACTCCTGCAGTCCCACTTGTCACTCCCACAGCCCCAACCATCCCACACACYCACTTGTTTTATCGACATTAATATCTTCTTACACACTTCTGCAATGCCTGTTACACAGGTAAGTCCTAAAGCACTTTAAAGACTTTACAGTGCAGGGAAAAGATGGAAGCAGTAGGTAAATTCCTGTGGTAAGGAGGATTCAATGCCATCTGGGAAAGAATGGGTCAGTAATGTACACCAAATAATTGAAAGACTAAAKCAGGAGGAATCACYAATATTCCTGGTATTTAGAAAGGCACCCTGTAATTACCAAGTTGAAATTTGGGTAGCACACCAAACTCCCTTTGTTCTTACTGAAGTACCTGGCAATCTCTAATGAGCCCAAATGGTCACCACGAGTTTATAAATGCAGAGGAGGCAMCATCAGCAGAACAGCTTTGGGGCAAGGTACAGTGATGGAGACTGAGAGGTATCAGTACCCACAGTGAGCCACACCACTGTCTGCAGCTCATAGCATTTCTCATCAAGCTTCAGATGAGAGTCCTTTGCGTTGCAAGCTGCAGGAAGACCTCAGCCAGAGTTAGCTTTACATATATGTATATATAAACATACATATAGTGTATATACCATGTAATTGTAGTTACTTAGTTGTATTAATGGAGCATCTTTCTCAGAGGGAAAGGGGATGAGAAAGCTGCCAGCCCAAAGAGCACATTACATACACCCATCTGCTGCACTGGGACTGCAGGCCTGGAGCAACAAGGGACAGCAGGAACAGGATGGGAGAGCAGCTCTCTCCCTACRCATCTACCACTGAATTTTCTAAAACTCTTTCCACTGCCTTAATTGGCCCCTGGAGCAGAAGCTCTCTTTCATGAACTTGGGAAAAGCAAAACCAGAAAGGTGTAAAATTACTACTCTCACCAGGACACTGTGTGACTATGGCTCCAAGGCTGCTCCTCTGACATTGCACAGTCCCTTTTCTCCCAGGGGTCAGACCTATGTATCCAACACCGTTTGAAGAGCTGGCACAACAGAGAAGTTTGATTTTCCTACTTGAACTCTTTTGTTATAGGTACAACTTCCTTTTACACTGTGCCACTTACCAAAAAGCCTTAAGTTGTTCAAAAAACAGCTCAAACCCACAGAACTCAGAGGGGCTTGCACACAAAGAGATTTTAAATAAATTATTAAATGAGAGTTATTTTTCTTTGCCTTTTGAGKTTTTTTCAGGGGGGCATAAAAGACATAATTTAACATTCTCTTTGAAGTCAGGGACTGGGAACTTATATTTCTTTCTATTAAACATTCAGATTCTCTCCTATCCAAATCATCCTAGAATGTTTTAAAGTATTACCACATATTACAAGCTARCAACATGGCTTTTAAGTTATTCTTGTAGTGAGTAGCACAGATCTTGTATATCAGGATACACAATTGCAGCAAAGGAGAGAAAATTATTTAGAAAGCTTTTTACAAGTACAGTATCTTGCAAGAAAGAGCTGGAGGGTATTCCCTCACATAAAGAGGTTGGAAAACCGCTTAATGGGCGAGGCATCCCAGGATCCCTGTTCAGCCTCTCTACAGATTTGCTTTGCATTTGTGGGAAGGCTTGGCTCCCAGCCTCACCATCAACTAATCCACAGAAATAATCAGATGGAAGTTAAATGRAATTGCATTAACTTGAGATGAAAGGGAGCTCATTTGCATTTCTTCTCACTGGCCCTCCAGTGTGAACATGCATACACGCACGCCACCCCCACACAGCCAGCAGACACGAGGTATCTTGCTGAAACAAAGCAGATTTCCTTCATTACTTCCTTCATTTCCCTTGCCTTCCTCCTTGATAGTCCTATTCATTCCTTTGAAGCACCTCTACTCTGGTTCCTTTTCTTCCTCTTCCCTGCTTTGATGGAAAGGGGCAAGGCACGTAATGCTCAAAAGTGGATTTTCATCCTAAATATAAACCATGAGCACAAACCATCTTTTGCTCTGTTTACATGCCTTCTCTTCAACATTAAATCCATCCTCTTTCCACGTGCTGGGATGGGCTAGGGGCTTGTTCAGCTTGTCTGTTTTCCCTCCCTCTTTGCAGAGGCATGTTTGAGTAGACAGYGAACACTAAGGAGTGGAGCAAGACACCGCACTCAGAAATTTTGTCTGCAATCACAGGGATTTGGTTTTTCTCCTCTCCTCTGGCACCCTGAGTATGGTCCCCACTGAGACAGCCCTAGGCTTCTGCCCCTCCTGGCACATCAGCACCTTCAGGAATATCCCTGCTGTTCCTATCACTCAGTGTCCCCAGTGACAATGGTGGGGTGAGGAACATTAACCCGCATGCCTTTACACACAAGCACAAGCAGCCAGGTTAGATTTCTCACTGAAATGCCAAGAGGGAAATCGAGTCACCCATCTTACTGGCAAGCTGGATCACACAAGCTGCAAGCTCACACTCCCTGCCTTTCCTCCAAAGACAACCACCCCATCACAGAGCAGCCCACAGGGCACAGCTCCAAGCAGCAAGATGGGTTCAAACCAGGTTCCTCCAGTACAGAGAATTACACACAGGTCTTTCACTTTTCCTGCTTACACAGAGACTCTAATAGCCCCAGTAGAGAAGAAGAAACAATACCTCAAAGGGATCTTGGTTTCTATTGCAACGCTTATTTACATGTTCTATTATGCAACTAATTAAACCAAAAGAAAGAGCCAYCATCATTGAAGCTGTGTTCTTTCAAAAAAGCAGCCATTGCTACTGGATGTTGCAATCAGCCTCCTCCATTATAAGACCATTAAACAAAATCCAAGTACAGCACCCTGCTCTCCCTGGGGGCAAGAAGTGAAATTATGTGTTTTTCAATCCCAACGGATTTGGGAATAAAATAAATGCTGAATCATCCAGCTTTGCCAACATTGGGCATTCACAGAGGCAGAATAGCTGGATCCTGCAGAGCTCTGGTTTTGGTTTGTAGAGTACTACAATGAGTAAGACTCTTCAAGTTTAGTATTTCAAAGCTGGGCATCCACTCATTAGTGTCCACACTGAATAATCATGCCTTTTTGGCAGACCCTGATTTTCCCCCTGYCTTGAGTTCTCTGTAAAACATGTGGCTGATCATACTCACAATCTCAGTGGAAAGTTACAAGAAAATAGAATTGTTAAGAATATGAACCATAAGACACCGACATCAGTGACAGATTAAAGTACCCAAGATACTCGGCTTTTTCCAAGCAGAAGATTGGATTGGGATGACTTATTTTCAGCACAGAAAAAGCGTTTTTTTTTGCTTTGGTGATTTCTCTAAAGAGGCAAGGACTACTAAAAAATCACAATTTTTTCTGTGATCAATCTCTTGCAACTTGTAACAAGAGATGGTTGACCAGAGAGGTTGTCAAGTGTCCATTCTTGGGAAATCAAAACCAAACTGGGAGTGGACCTGAGCAACCTAGTCTTTAACTGATCCCTGCTTTGAGCAGGAGCTTGAACCAGATGRTTATCAAGAGGTTCCTTCCACTTTCAACTATGCCACAATCTGGTGTTGCACTGCAAATTTCTATGAGCACAAAGGCACCTGAGATAAATCTTTTGAAGTGTTAATTCATCCAAAAGGCAAGAATCTTCTCTGCCATCTTAACAGTGAGAGAAATCAATTTATAAGACATTGCTGTACTTAAAAGCAGTGTGTCATAACTGTACCATTTCCCCAGGAAAGTAAAACAGGTATGGCTGATGCTTCTTTTGATTATAAAACAGTCTGTATTTAAAAACATGTAATCAACAGACTGGGGTTATTTGTAACATCTGGACAAAGCTGCAAACATTTATCAAATCTTTTCATTTGATTGTGTGTTCTTTCCAGGCCGGTTTGATCACAGACACTCTCCAGAAACTCACTGTCCCTGGGCAGTCCCAGCAGAACTCCACATCTCTCAGTTCCCACACTGCATGGAAAGCCAAGTCTCTCTGCTTTTACTTGCACCACACTTAGGTGTCAGCAAGGGAACTCTTGGTCTCCACATAYTCAAGTGCTGCTCTTTTAACAGCCAGGACGCTTTCTTCTGTACCAAATTTCTTCTCATAATCCAGGTAGCGTTTGAAGAAGAATTTCATCTTCTTTGGTGCCAAGCTTAGGTGTATGACCCTCTCAAAGATGTCCCTGCAAGAAACCAAAGAGATTCAGATCATTGCATTAGTGACAGCACTTAATACAAGCCCTGTACCCTATGTTTTAACAAAGAGTAGAAAGTCAGGGCAAACATTCAATGGAAACTGCTGCAAAGTGCCAGTGCTTGAAGAAAGAGATTGCTGACAACTAGCCAAAATCTCAAAGTAGAAGCTTTCTACTTGCTTGCAAAACTGTAAGGCTGCTGATCAACYTAAACAAAGATCCAGACAATGGACCATGCATTCATTAAGTGGATGTGGAAAATKATTTCCTTTGTCAACTGTCAATAACGAAGATGGAAAAAAAATGTTTCTCCGTTTTTATGTTACAAGATATAAAAGACTGATTATTAAAGATTGATCTCACCCTTCAGATACAATCTGCAAAAAGGCAATCCCTGCAGAAAAACAGAACCTCAGTACAAGCCCTCTATTTTCTGTCATGCAGGCCACTACTCACAAATCAGTTCCCCTCTGGCCTGTGGAACTCTTTGGGGGTCTGCTCAGTCCCAGCAAGGATAAGCATTTCCACACACCCCAGTTTTGTGAAAAGGAAAAAGAAAAAATCCCTTTTGCTCTGCTCTGGGAAGCTCTATACAACTTCACACTGAGGTTACCTCTGCTCTTTTCAGCTTTGCTCTGCCCCTTCCCAACCTGCTGCACAACTCACCGCACTTCCTTCTGGCTGCCATGCTTGATCATGATGTCCATGTAGATGGACCAAACATCTGTCCGTTTGGGATAGCTGCTGAGAATGCTCTCAAAGAGTGCCCTGGCATGTTCTGTGTCCCCAGAGTGGAACTCCAGCTGTGCAAACCTTGAAATGACATCTACATCTGGAACAAGTAATGACATGTTAGGCTATCACAGCAACTCTCTTCCATGTGAACTAATATGAGTGAGAATGACACAGAACAAAGGTAGGCACAGACAGCACCAGGTCCACCCAGAGACAAAAAGGCTCCACTGTAAAGAGGTTCTGGACCAAGGTGGGATCAAAGTGATGGGAGATAAGGGTCACAGATCACTTCCCATTTCAGCTCTCAGTGGGAAAGAGAGGGTTTTTTTTTATGTTCATAACATATCATGCAGCACCCATGGGCAGCCCCACAACCTGGGCTTAGACCAAGTGAACTTTTCTAGAGGGCTTTAAAACTCAAAGCTGCCTGTGCTTCAGGTGCTCTGCTTTTGTGCATCACAGCAGATTCTGTTACTGGTGGATTCAGCAGTGATGCCCAGATTGGAAGATCCCCTCCCCTGAGAGTCAGATGGCTGCACTTTCCACTTACTACAAATGCTGTCACAGGCAGAGATACCAGAGAGCAGCCCATCTTATGTCAACATTAAGGTCCACATTAAGGCTGGGGCAGAGARAGCTTACGTTCTTTGGTGGGCAGAGCCTTGAGAGCACGCTCCAGAAGCCTGTGTGTAGCCTCAGCCTGGCCTTGCTTTAGGAGGAAAGAGGCRTATTTCAGCCACATGGATTTCTCCTGACGAAAACGCTTCAGCATTGTCTGGTACAAYTCTTCTGCTTGCTGGAAGGGCAGAGCTGTGTTAGATCAATCAGATTCATAAYAAAGCCTTGTAGCTTTGAAACTCTTATTTTTAGGCTGGGTATCTCTAAATACTTATGACACAAAAGCAGACATCAATGCATCCTTGCCTACTTTCAATCATCACCATTAATTCCAGTTAAGAACAGGACAGGCCCAACATCTGACAGCTCTCAGCTCACACAGCTAGCATTTGCAGTTTACTGGCAGGACTGAATGGAATACATGCCAGGGACCTGCTTGCACTGTCTCACCTTGTACTTCTCCGAACTGGCATAGATGTCACACAGATGCTGGAAGACTTTCAGAGGTTCATTGTATTGAACAGCTCTCTCAAAGACCTTCATCAGAGTCTCCTCAGTACCATACATGTTCTCCAAGTTCAGCARAGCTACCCAGACATTCAGCTTCTCCTGTTCCTCCCTTAAAACAATGTGAACAAGAATATTTAGCCTTTTGCCAGTCTTCACCAGGTTTTTGCAAATGACCCTACAAGACTCACT